CAACTGCAAAGCCTACAGGGGGAGAGGATGGGGCAGACAGGCAGAGCTGGAGCTGACCCCACTCCTACGTGGAAGGTCAGAAATAAAGCACAGGAACAACCCAAACAAAACTGATCACAGAGAAGTGCACTGGTGGGGCAGCTGGCACCCTGGTGGGTGCTATTGGCTGCAGAGGCACACAGGGCTCTGTGGTGGGCACAATGTGCATAGAAACAGTGGTCACCAGCCTGTGTTGCAGAGATTGAAGACGGAGGGGAGCTGGCTCCGGGGGAGACGCAGTGCCCAGATGGACAGGTCCTTCTGTGACCCGGTCACCTTCCTTCAGACACGCCACAGCCCAGAGTCGCAAGGGTCCTGGGGAGGCTAGAGCCTGCCCTCTGGGCTCAGAGGGTGCCAGGTGCCCTTCCAGCTTCAGCCCACCCACACACCTGGGGGAGGGTGGGACCCCGATATTTAGCGCCCGCTGGAGGGCATGGAGGCAGGGTGTTCATATGCCCAACAGTGTTGATTTTCTTATGCATTTGGCCTATTTGCTCTCATTTATAAGTGCTTCAGGACCTGATTCTGGCTGGGGGGTTGGGGGGTTCCTCCCAGACCTCCCCGAAGCCGTGCACTGGCCAAGTCTACCTTCAGCACCCACTATGGGCCCTTGCTGAGAATAGCCAGGCAGCTCCAGACTGCTTGGATTGGGGGCCAAGGAGGCATTTGGCAGGGGAGTTGGGAAACGTGGGTGCCATGTGTGAGTGAGTCTCTCTTTGAGAGACCTTAAGGAGAATGAGAAGGCACCCTTGGATGTGTGGCTGGAACCCCACAAATGTAATGAAATGCTCAAGGCTGATGGGAAAGCCAACGTGTCCTTCTCTGCTCGTGACCTTCCTCCCTGCCACCGTTCCCTGTGACTCTCCCAGTGTTGCTGTGGAGCGGTCAGGTGCTGGGCCTGCACCCCAGAGGCCAACGCGCAGCCTCGACAGACAGATCTGTCACCTCCAATGATACAACCTTTCCTGTAGAACTTGGTCCTCATTTATAATTGCCTGATACTAATCACAAAGAGAAAAGCTCTCTGTTCATTTAAAATGTTAGTGGTATCAAGGCAGATAATTCCACTCTGGTGGATTTTATCAGCTTCTTGAAAAATGTATCAAAGCCAGAGTCTGTTAATTCAAAGAAAGCCAGTTCAATACCTGGTGAAGATACCTGCCGAGTGCTTATGTCTGGAATGCCGCTTCTCCGCCCAAAACCTGACAGGGTAAAATGAGCCTGTCGCTGGATTAGCCGGCCCTAGTTGCAGGGGCCCGGAGCTAGTGCATGCACCATGTTAGCTGCGCCCCAAAAGGGAAGTCCGGCTGGCCTCTGCTGCTGGTCCCAGCCTTGTCTCCATCCCAGCTCAGGAACTCTGTGGGCGAGGGGCGGAACATGCAAACAGGGTGCTGTTGGGGTGTCCCAGAACAGCCCAGGATGCCCCTGGTGGGGACGCAGGGACATGACGTCTATGTGGACACATGTGTGGACACGTGTGCAGCCGGTAGAGATCTGCAGCTGTTGGTGTCAGCGCGTCCAAACAGCCTTTGAGTCTCACCGGCTAAGTTAAAGTGTGTTCTTGAACACACTGAGCAAAAGTCAAAGGAAGTTAACTGGGAAAATTCGAGGTAGAGCCGATTGTCCTGGGCCAGCCCTCAGCGCCAGCACCACAGCCCACCCCAGCACCTGCCCTCCAGAAGTTCACACCCCCAGTGGCTCCAGGAGGGGCCAGGGCATGTGAGACAGTCTTTCCAGCATTCTGACCAGGCTGTGGCCTGGGCCCACCCTGTGACAGGGTCCAGGCACCAGGAGACAGCACCTCCGGGCAGTCTCAGCTGCAGACGTATTTACAGTGTCAGCTGCCCTGGGTGGGAAGCTGGAGATGAAATGACTTTATCACCAAATGGGAGGAAGCCCCGAGCTGGAGAATGGCTCCTGAGGTCACAGCAGGCTGATGGGGGTCGGGGGTGTGAGGGGGAGGGGTGTGGCTGGCAGGGGAGGAAAAGCCCATCTCCTGAGGCTGCTCCAAGGGTGCTTCCTGGTGAACTGGACTTGCACTACCAGCCCACTGTCCCTGTAAACTTGTCTGCTTCTCGGAAGGTGATACACTCTTGCCCCGTGGGTCCCAGGGCAGCAGGAAGCGCCTCTTCCCAGCCTGGTCATCACAAAGGGAGACACCCGGTTTCTTCTTGCCCCTAGAGGGATGAGCAGTGTAGAAACAGTTGGGTCCTCTAGGACTCCTCCGAGACAGGACCTGGGGAAGAGATCTGGGCAACGGGGAGGCCAGATACACACCAGAGCAGCATCCATCAGAAAACCAGCGAAGAGGCACTAGTAGGCGGCTTGTCATCACTCATCACCCCGAGATGCAAATAAAGCCACACCCACCAATCGCCAGACCAATCGCTGCTCACCCTGGGGGTGGGGCTTCTGCCTCTTTAAAAACAGCCAACAGGGCCCCTCCACCCCTGGGTCCCTGCCCTTACCTCCCAGAGGGAGGCCACCGGGCTCCTGATGGGCAGCTGAGTCTGTTTACGTGGGGTCCCTTTTCTTTCTAGAAGAAATAGCAGAGCATAAAATCTAAGCATTGGCTTCAAATATCCTTTTCAAAGAAGAGGAAGCCATTAAAATTTATGGCTCTGCCTGATACAATATAGCAATAGATTCCACCAATTTATACCAAAGTATTTCAGGGTTTTTCTTTTTTTCCAGAATATTAACTGACTTTTTGAGAGGTATTAACATTGCGGTGTGTGAATCATGAAATGCCTTTCACTCCTGATGTGATAAATCTGGCCTATCAAAAATACATTTCTGTGTTTTGTGAAATTCTCAAACCTGCATGCCTCATTCAAGGTGCCGTGTGCACCCACATCTTGGCACCATTACTCACAGGGTCAGGAAAGGCAACAGCCCTGGTGCCCGGGACAGACACACGCCTGGCAGGACCCCTCCCTAGGGACTAGAATCCCAGGGAACCAAGACCTGTGTGCCCCAAAGCCCAGCACCCCATGTGCCCCAGGCCCCAGCTCCCCACGGCCAGGAACACCATGTGCCCCACAGGGGCCCATTTCCCACAAGGGCGCTGCTCCCTGGACCCGGTTGCTGTCGGCAGCCACCGCAAGTCCATTTGGGCGGTGGTTCTTGGCAGCTTTTGTTGTTCTTGGCAGCAAGCTTGTTCCACGCCCTGTCCTTGTGAGGCCCTGGTGGGCCTCGAAATGCAGAGGGACCAGAAGACACATGCAGTCCCTGGGCCGCTGGCCAGCTGACGTCCCTGGGTCCCTGTGTCACTGGAACCAGAGTCCGCAGACCCTGGTGGGGTCTGGCACTGCTGCAGGGCCCTGGAGGAAAGGAGGTGAGGAAAGGGGGCTCACCCTCTAGGTCTCTGGCTCTGGGGCTGGTGTGGGCGCCTCCGAGCATTGAGGGTTCCAGAGCAAGTGGCTGGGGAGGCCGCTCTGCTGTCCACTCCCCCCAACCCCGCACCCCTCCAAGCCCCACCTACCCTGCCCTGGCCCCCATGCCCTGATACACCCCCACACCCCGCCTTCCCCCACCCTCCATCTGCAAGAGCTGTTTCACAATCATTCAAAATGCGGCCTCTTCTGTCTTCTCTACATTTAAGAAAATGGGTGTCCATTTTCCATTTAGCCGTCATCTTCCAGAGTACAGCTTTCACTCTTAGACTTTTGAATATTAGAAGCCTGAAATTTACCAAGATGGATTTAGAACTACCTAACAGCTATATTTTTAAGGAAAAATCATAGAACATAAAATGCTGAAATGGTTCTTTTCCCTTTTTTTTTTTTTTTTTTTTTTAAGAAGAAGAGGATCTATAGCTCCCTGCAGGGTGCAGCCACCCAGGGCGGCCAACGGGGGGAGGGGGGAGGGGGGAGGATTCTGGCAGGAGGGGGTCACCTTCCTCCCTTCTGTTCAACTTTAAAGCCAGGAGCCAGGACCCGTTTGCACTTTTATACCAAAAGAGAACCAGCAATTGAAAAGCAAATGTCTAATGAGGGGTTCAGTCTTGAAAAGCCAGTATGAAATACTCAGTGCTTGGGCAGGGCCGTGCGGATTTTAAAAGCCCCCACAGTGGACACGGACTCCTTCTTCTTTGCACTGCAGGGGTGGAGCTTAGACCCCAGGTGTCCTGAGTTGGAATCCTGGGGGTGTCTGGCTAGTGCAGAGTGAGGCTGGGAGCCCAGCCAGGGTGGGGTCAGCCTGGAGGGCTCAGCGTGGAGGTGGGGGTTCAGTGCCCGGTAACCAGGGCAGTGCCAGGTGCATCTAGCAGATGTCGGGGAAACACGCTGCCCTAACTGGTTGCTGTGAAGACAGAATTAAAGTGGAAAAGCACGTCCAGCTGCCTGGGACACAGGATATGCCACATAAACCTTGGGGCTTGAGCCTACTGGCAATGGGAGGGTGGGTGGGGATGGTGGGGGGCGGGTTGGGGAGCACCAAGATGCAAGAGAGGGCCAGATGGGAGGGGGCAGGAGGAAGCTGCTAAGCAGTTAGCAGTAGTTACCAGGAGGGTGAGGCACCAGGGCTCCCCCACTGAGGGGGAGCAGGGGTCCTGGGGCTCCTCAGGAGATAGCAGACAGGTGAAGGGGGATACAAGATGATGAGCGGGGCCTGTCTAGGAACCTGGGCGGACCCAGGAGCCCAGGCAGCAGCACCCTGTCTGCTTGGCACAAAGAGAAACAGAGAGTCACCTAACAAAGGGACGGGTTGCACTGGGCACCCAAGGACCAGCTCAGCACCTGAGGGTGGAACCCGGAGAAGGCACAGCTCACTCCAGGGGCATCAGAGGATGACTGAGCCCTGGAGGCGGGCAGGGCCATCACACCATCTGTCGAGCGGGAAAGTGGGCCAGCTTCCACAGCTGGCTCTCCTACTGCAGTCACCCCCAGCAGGGCCTCCCGCCCCGCAGCCCTCTCCTCAGGGCTGGACACTCATGCCTGCCCATGCTCTCGCCCCCCCAGGTCTCTGACCGCTGTGACTATGTGTTTGTCAACGGGAAGGAGATGAAGGGCAAGGTGGGCGTGGTGGTGGACTTCACCTACCAGCACCTGAGCAGCCCGCTGGAGATGACCGTGTGGGTGCCCCGGCTGCCCCTGCAGATCGACGTCTCGGACACGGAGCTCAGCCAGGTCAAGGGCTGGAGGGTGCCGATCGTCTCCAACAAGAGGTGGGTGGGCCAGACACCAGGGCAGGACATGGTGCAGGGCCGGGCAGGTGGCTCCCCTGACCTGGCTGGCCATGTGGCGCTCCCCTGACTTGGGTGGCCGTGTGTGGGCCCCACCCTTTCTCACCAGTCCCAGCCTCCCTCCTCTCTCCTGACTCCACAAAGAGCACATCCTCTCTCTCAGTAATCCAGCCGAGGGCCTGGTTAGGCTTCCCCTCTTGGGTCCTCGCAGGCCGAGGTGGGCACACACTGCGTGCTGGGCTGACCGTCGGCTGCACCCCCAGCTGGTGGACTAAGGAAGGGGCCGGCCAAACCCGCACCCGTGGGTCAAAGCCGAAGACAGTACTGATCCTGTGAGAATGTGTGCTAGCAGGACCAGACCCCCGGGCCAGCCAGCCCCTCACGGCCCTTTGCAGGAGCTCTGAGATGGCCGGATCTTGGGGATACCATGTCCCAGACTTGCCCCTTGCCTCCGCTCCTGGTGTGCCCCATGAGGCTGCTTGGTAGTGGCAAGACCCTGGTACCATGTCTGGAGAACTGATGGCTCCCTGTGCAGAGGGTGGCAGGACTCAGATGGCACCTCAAGGAAGTCGCGCTCCGGGACGCCTGGGGGAGTGAGTAGGTGGGACTCTCAGACTGTGTCCCAGCAGAGAAGACCGCCCCTTCCCGGGACCAGCTTCCATGTCCTGCCCTTGGCAACAGGCCACAAGCCCTCGTCCTGAAAGCCCGGGAAGTGGGGCCGAAGGCCCTGTGGGAGCCAGGAAGCCTCGAGCCAAGGCCCTTCTTAAAGGCCAGGCTTTCTGGTGTGAGTGGGAGGGTGGGGTCAGGCGTGCTCAGTGCTATGAGGGTGTCACGCCCCAGATGCTGCCCGCGCTGTGAGGCCCAATGCCCCGTGGCCCTGTCCGGGTATGCACCCTCGGCTGCAGCGAGGCACAGGGAGCACGGCCCAGTCCATGGCAGCCTGCCGGGCCCTCCCAGGGGTGCCTGACCTCCCCGGGGCCCAGCTTCCCTACAGGCGCTGGCTGCGGGGCTGTCCAGCCACCAGCGCCCTGTGACCATGCCCTGCTAGGAGACCCGTACGTGTGGCTGTCTGTGGCTATGAATTCAAAGACTTCTCCCCAAACCTGGTGGCCAAGTCTGTTTCCACGGCTCAGATGTCACATCTAGGCGTGACTAGGCAGGTCAGGGCAGAGGGGGCCCATGGCTGGCAGGGCTGCTGTGTGCCCTGGGGACTCGTGGGGAGGCCACCTCAGCTTGCACAGTGGCCGCAGGGACCTCCTGGCACGTGTCAGGCTGCCGGGCACACCCAGCACCCAGTGTGAGGTGTCCTCGGGAGGCCTCCTAGACACAGCAGCTGGCTCCACCCAGCGGGCCAGGGAGGAGCGCAGAAAAGAGGCCCTGGCAGAAGCGGTCACTCCAACACCTGGTGTTGGAAATGACGCCCCTCACTGGCCGGCTCCTGTGGGCACTCGGGACTCTGCTCACGGCTCTGCTCCCTCTACCCAGGGTGAGTGTCGCCCCATGTCTGCTGGGCTTCCAGCCTCCAGGAGCCACGGCATTCCGGGCCTTGCCCCCCAGCCCCTGCCTGCTGCCCACGAAATCAGCACCTATTAAACTGAACTGCCCCTTCAACAGGCCCGCCCGGGACAGCGAGGACGAGGAGGACGAGGAGCGGCGGGGCCGCGGCTGCGCACTGCAGTACCAGCACGCCATGGTGCGCGTCCTCACCCAGTTCGTGGCCGAGGCTGCTGAGCCTGGGGGGCACCTGGCCCACCTGCTGGGCTCAGACTGGCAGGTGGACATCACGGAACTGGTGAGCGACTTCATGCAGGTGGAGGAGCCGCGGATCGCCAAGCTGCAAGGTGGCCAAGTTCTGATTGGCCAGGAGCTGGGGATGACCACCATCCAGGTAAGACCCTGCCGCCTCACTCTGCACGCAGCAGCTCAGCTGGGCCAGGTCTTGGCTGGGTCTATACCACCTCTCGCGCAGGAGCAGGGAGGCTGAAGGGCATCGGGCAGTCACAGGCGAGGTGTAAAGGCAGCGAGATCCTGGGGCCCCTCCCCTCTCAGCAGCCTTGGAGCGAGGCTGGCCCTCGCTGGGGTCGTGTTTGAAGCTCCAGGGCAGCCTGGCTGTGAGCCTGATGCCACCCATCAGTGCATGGGTGGCTCCTGACTGGCGTCCACCTCGCTGACCACTTAGCCACCAGGGCGTTGCAACCCCCGCCTCTGACATGCAGGAGAGGGCAACATTTCAGAAATGTGAAGGGGAGACCAGGGTCCCAGGGCCTTCTGGGGCTAGCAGTGCAAAGACCAGGGCTCGCTCTGGGCGTGGAAACAGCTCTCCCCCAAAATGCCGTCGGGAGGGCTGGGTCACCAGCCGCCTGTGCGAGGACAAGTCTTATTCCTCAGTAGCTGCCCCTTGGTGAGGGTGATATTCTAAATCGGGCCAATCATCCTATTAGCCAGCGTGAGGTTTCTGAAATCACTGTTGTGGGGAAGCCTTACCGGGGAACTGTGTTGTTGAATTAGGGAAGATTTAAATCAGATCCATTCAAGAAAACTAGCTGGTATTTCATAGAGATTATTTTATTATTTATTTATTCATTTATGTATTTATTATCATTTATGTATTGTTAAGGAGGAAAATGAATTGGTTCGAGCTGTGACCTCAGAGCCACATGATCTATTGATCTCTAAAAGCAAAGGAGGTTCCACCGTGGTGAGAGCAGATGGGGTAGGAGGTGAAAGATGACAGCCGACTTGGGAACGCACTAGGGAGTGGTGAGGAGTGTGGTGAAGGGCAGGTCGGTGCTCAGCTCCACTTCTGTCAAAGGGAAATGGGAACCCAGCGTTGCAGAAAAGCTAGGAATATACCTTGTATGCTCTTTAAAGCATGGCCATTTAACCCATTTCAAGACATTATTTACAGAAAACCTATTGACCCCATAGCAGAAAGCTGGCCACCTTCGTAATTGAAAACCCTAAATTCCTGCCATAAACTGGCTAAATTGATGCGGAACCCGGAGGAGGACAGGTGCTCGCCCCTCTCTCCAGGGCCCACGCATGGGCAGGGAGGACAGGACTGCGTGTTCAGGAAGCAGCTGGGACCGAGGGGAGCCGCACGGCTCCCAGGTGCCACACATGGATGTTGTCCTGCTGGGGCCTGTTTATAAGACCCTCCATTCTCCCCATTGCATCCTCCCGAGGCCTAAACTCACTTGTCCACCTCCTTCTGGAGACCCCTGGCTCACGGCCCTTCCAATTGTCATAACCAGAATCAGCAGCCCTAGACATGAGCTTTGAGAGCAGGTGTGAGGAGCCCTGGGAACTGCTATCCTGACCACCCTCTCCATATGCCTCGCCAGTGGATAGAAGAGAACCACAAGCAGCCAGCCTGCGTGGGGAGGAGGCCCGAGAGTGGGCGGGCGGAGGCAGCAGCAGCTGTGAAGGGCTTCCTCTCCCAAGTCACAGCAGGAGTCCAGGAGAAATGCCGCCTTGGGGCTCTGGGGCCCGGGTCAGGACTGTGGTTCTCACAGGTGCCGGCTGACCCCTGACAAGGCAGCTGAGCACCCTGCTGGCCATTTCCAGGAGCACAGCCCCAGGCTTAGTGGCCCCCTCATCACACTGGCCAGCACGGATATCAGAAACACACAGCACAATAAGACATTGCTCGCAGCACTGTGCGAGTTTTGTTAACAGATCATTAAGTACATAAATGTCAACAGAACATGCACCAAGTAATAGAAGAGAGAAGCCGCGCTGCAGAAGGCATGCAGTCGCCATGAGTGGAGGTCGGTCCCTCCTCCTGGACGAGGCTGAGCCTGGGGGTGCAGGGGTCGGGGGGCATGGTCCCCGCAGCCATGTCTGGCTGTCCACTCCCGAGGGGCCCCTGTGCCCTGCCCTGCAGAGCCACCCTGAGCCACAGGAGGCGCTCGGGTGTGTGAAGCTGTCCTAGCATGTGCCTCTGCTTTCAGATCCTGTCGCCTCTGTCCGATGCCATCCTGGCCGAGAAGACCATCACCGTGCTGGACGAGAAGGTGACCATCACAGACCTGGGGGTCCAGCTGGTGACAGGCCTGTCGCTCTCCCTGCAGCTCAGCCCCGGGAGCAACAGAGCCATCTTTGCCACCGCAGTGGCTCAGGAACTGCTGCAGAGACCCAAACAGGTACTGCGCAGGTGCACACGGCCGGTGGGGCGCTCGGCAGGGTCTGGGTCATTCAGATAAGGTCAGCCTGCAGAGAAGGGGCTCCCCACATGGGGCCGCTCTCCCTCAGCTTCCTTGCCCCCAAAGGAAGAGCCAGAGAAGGGACCCAGCAGCAGGGGCGAGCCGGGGGGGCCCCCTACCCCCAGCCAGGACCAGGCCTCCAGCGTGTGTGCACACATGGGTCGCCACAGCAGGGCCTATTAATGGTGTGCTCAAATGCAGTGTGTCCTGCTCCTCACTAGGAGTAGGGGAGCATGCTCTCTCCAATTCTGGTGTGCCCCAATTCTGGTGCGTCCCTAACACCCTGCTCTCCACACCCCAAGATAGAGGTCAGCTGTGGACTGTTGGGGTCTGTGGGAGGAGTTCCTGCACTTCCCCAGCCCTGAAGCATCCCCCACAGTAGGTGACCCGCCAGCCCCTGAAGCTGTACTGAGCAGCAGGGAGTTGATACAGGCTCGTGGGGACCCCCGGTCCCACATGGATGGGTAGAGGGTTAGAACACCCCTGGAAGTGGATGACCTGGTAACAGAAGGATAATAGCCAAAGGCAAATGTCCTCTCTCTCTGGCGGAAGCCAGCCAGGGTGCAGCTCACATCTGGAGAGAAACCCTGGGGCCTCCTGGCTGGGTGGGTCATCAGGTCAAGCAGCTAGCAGGAGCTGAGGTGGCAGCCAGGCGCGTGCAAAGGAGACCAGGGTGCTGCCCCTCCTACCAGCACAGAACACCCCCTGCCTGCACAGTGGTCCCCCCAGGCTCCTCACCCACCCCTACACACAGTGCCCCCCACCTGGCTAGCTGGCTTGGGTGCCCCCCATCACTGCCAGCAGTCAGCCTCATGCTTGTTTCGAGGTGTCAGCATGCACTGGGCGCTGTGTGGCTCCTGGCAGACTTGGGCTCCAGCCTGATGAGGACCTGGTCCCCGTGCAGGGAGAGGAGGGAGGAGGCACTGGGGGTGGGGGTGCACTGTGGGGCAGGAAAGAAACCCACCGAAGCAAACTGCTGCACCGGGCCTGGCTCAGACTGCAGGAACTCAGGGCTCAAGGCCACCCCGATGTGCTTGTGGTGCCATTTTGTTTCCTCACCCTTTGCTGCACCCCAATATTCACTCACACATGATCTGCCCCAGGGGTACCTGAGTGGAACTGCACTCCCCAGGCTTTCTTTGTTTGTTTTTGTTTTGTTTTGTTTTGTTTGTTTGTTTTTTGACTTATGCAGCACTTTCTTTATATATACAATAGTTGATTTTTACATCATTTTGTGCCTTTTTCCATCTAAGTTGCAATCCCCGTGGACTTCCCATCATCATATCACCCATGTACCATCACCATAGTCCAGTGCATTTCCCTCCCCCCACTGTTTTTGATCCCATTCCCCGCTCCACCCCCACAAAATGTCCCTGGTAGATAGCTGTTCATCATTATCATTATTTTCTCGCCGTTCCGTTACACTCCTGCTACGAGTGAAACCATTCGGTATTTTTCCTTTTCTTTCTGATTTATTTCACTAATCATGATTCCTTCCAGTTCCATCCATGTTGCTGCAGACGGCATGTGTTTATTTTTTTAGTGTGTTTATTTTTTTAGTTACTGAGTAATATTCCATTGTGTGTATGTATGTACCACGTCATTTTAATCCAGTCTTCCACTTTTGGGCATTTGGGCTGTTTCCATGTCTTTCTGACTGTGAATAAAGCAGCAATAAACATGGGGCACCCCAAGTTTTATCTGTGCCCCCAGCATGCCCACAGCTCCTGGCTCCCATCCTGTGTCTCCTCCTTCCACTCAGAGAGAGCTGAGCGACTCAAGCGCAGGGCTGCGGGTGCCCACTCTGCAGCCCATCTCCTAGGTCCAGGCAGCTGCAGCCAAGGGCAAGGCCCAGCAGACCCCGAGCTCAACTCCTCCTGTGGGCTCGGGTGAAGGCCACGGATGGCCGGGCGGCGCGCAGATCTGCCATCAGCACCGTGCTTCGGGGTGGGGGCTGCTCCCCGCTGACCGACCTCGAGGGAAGAGCAGCAGCAGAGGGACAAAGGCGGAAGACATGGGGCCCATGCACCACCTCTGTCCTCCCACCCTCCTGCAAAGATGGGGGTGGGCTGTGGGTGCTCTGGCTGTCCTCAGCTGGCGGGCCCAGACTGGCCCCACGAGCTGGTGCAGACCTGTCCCCACAGGCCCCAGCGGGCAGGCCTGTCCCACGCAAGCTGCAGCCCCAGGGTCTGCAGGTCAGGGTCTTTATCTGCACCGGGAGCCGAGATGGAGATGCAACATTAACGCCACTTAAACATAACGTAGTAAATACTCTTGAGCGTGCAGCCCTCAGGGCCCCTCACCAGTGACACCGTTTGACATTGAGTCACCGTCAGGCAGAGCAGGCCCTCCTCGGCCCCTCGGTGCCAGGAGAGCTGGCCCTCGCAGAGGGCACGTCGCCGGGCACGCTGGCTTCGCTTCCATCTCCATAAAATAATCTTGGCCCACACTTCGTGGTACTTGTGGCTCATGTCCTGTGTCTACACTGCACAAGAGGTTTCCTCGCTGTTGTTGCTGCAGAGGGTCTGTCTCGCTAAAACCGGGCACTCGGCAGGTCTGGGGTCTGACACATTCTGACCTGGGGCCCTTTTGTTCCGCAGGAGGCGGCCACCAGCTGCTGGGTCCAGTTCAGTGACGGCTCTGTCACCCCCTTGGATATCTACGATGGGAAGGACTTCTCCCTGGTGGCCACGTCCTTGGATGAGAAAGTGGTTTCCACCCACCAGGACCCCAGGTTCAAATGGCCAGTGGTGATGGCCGAGACTGAAGGGCAGGGTGCACTGGTGCGGGTGGAGCTGGCCATCAGCGAGTCATGCCAGAAGTCCAAGCGCAAGAGCATGCTGGCCGTTGGGACCGCCAATGTCAGGGTCAAATTTGGCCAGAGCGACGCCCACCCCAACGCCAGCGACAGCCGGGCCCCCGGGGCAGGGTTCCCCCTGGAGCGGCACGGCAGTGACAGGCGGTCCCGGAAGCCATGGCAGGAGTGGGGCGGCCAGGAGGGCCCACTCTATAGCAGCTCGCCTGGGGCACTCCTGGAGGGCAGGGGCCCCACCACTGAGAGGGCCCCTTTCCTGAGGAACGGCCAGGGGCGGCTCTTCGACCACGACAGCCACCTGCAGACCATCCCCATCGACCTCACCAGTCTGCCCGCCCCGGGGGGCCTCCCCAGCAGCGCTGGGGACACGCAGGAGGACCCCACGCAGGCCTCCAAGGGGCTGAGTGACCTGGAGATCGGCATGTACGCGCTGCTGGGCGTCTTCTGCCTGGCCATTCTGGTCTTCCTCGCCAACTGCGCCACCTTCGCGCTCAAGTACAGGCACAAGCAGGTGCCCCTGGAAGAGCAGGAGGGCGTGAGCCACGCACATGACTGGGTGGGGCTGAGCCGCCGGGCGGAGCTGCTGGAGAGCCCCGCAGCTTTCCCGTCCCCGCAGGACGAGCGGGTCACTGCCATCGACAGGGGCCTAGATTTCGAGGAAAGCAAGTTCCTCCTAGGCACGGACACCCTCAAGGGTCTCAACGGGCAGCTCTTCAGGGCCCCTGTGCCCCCGGGTTCCAGCGGGAAGGACCAGAAGAGCGAGCCCCCGACTTCCCCCACCTCCAAGAGGAAAAGAGTGAAGTTCAGCACCTTCACTGCCATCTCCCCAGAGGACAGCTGCCCAGCCGTACTGGCCTGCACAGAGGAGGCCATGGGCTGGATCTACCCAGACTTGCACCCCGGGGACAGCCACCCCGACCGGCCACGGGAAGGGGTATGAGCCGCACTCAGAGCCAGGTCTCACCTCTCGGCCTTTGATGCAGGGCGTGTGGCCATGAGGCCCTGGGGCTCCGGGAGAAACGTGGGACAGGGTGGCAGAGCCCCAGAGGCAGCCCCAGTGCGACACGCAGGAGGGACACACTCCCCTCCCTGGCGGAGCTCCAGAGCTGCGGTGCATGAGATTCCCATGTGTGGAAGACCCCTGAGACTCGTGGATGGCTGAGCCTCTGAGACGTCCCGGAAAGGAACAGTCTCCCTCACGTCAGAACACCCTGGGTGTGGTAAATTCATGGGGCCGGGCCCACCCGGCAGACACGGGACACGGGGCGCAGGCTGATTGCTGCGGGTTGGGGGCACCAGGTGGTTGACCTGAGGGCCACCTCAAGCTGCTGGCACCCACAGCCAGCCCAGAGCCCTGTGGGCACGTGGCTGCAGACATCCTGAAGTATATGCCAAGAACAAGCTAGCAGGCCGTGCCTGCGGCCAGACACCCCTGTGTTTGTAAAGGGGGGGTCCTTGGTCCCAGGAGTAGTTTCCCACATTCATGGGGGGGATTTTCCACACCCGGGCACCATGCCCCTGCCTGTCCAGAGAAACCCAGCTCTGTGGACATTTGTGACACCCATACTGTTCACGGAGTCAGGGTGCAGAGTGTAGGTGAGGGGAGTGGGGCTCAGTGTGTAAGGGGGTGCAGACACTGCCCGCCCACCCTCGGGCAGAAAGTCAGGCATCTTGCTTTGGGGAGACCTGACTTCGGGACGCCGTCTCGTCCTGCCGATGGAAGCCAGTGCAAAGGGGGCATCGGAGGGCTGTGCCATGCCAGGGGAGGTGGGGCAGGAGGAGAGACCGCAGAGGCGTCCAGTGCCGCCTGGCTCTTCAGAGCTCTCTCTCCCGATTTCTTCTCGGTGTGTCCCTGTCTCTCGGAATCATGCCCTTCTCTTCATCTGCCCCCCCGTCTCCCGCTCTCCCCTCTCACGCTCTCTCCCTATGCATACCATCTAATCCTTAGGCGACGGATGTGGCCCCACCGTGGCCCAGCCGTGCCTTCCCGCCGAACAGGGGTGCTTCCTGCCTGCTGCCCTCCTGACCCGGGGCGGACAGCCCTGAGCCGCTGCCCCTGCCCGAGCTGACGTCCCCACCCGGCTGGTGATTAACGTGCTGCCTTGAGCGAGGACCCTGTGGTCTCAGCTGCCCTGTCCTTCCCAGCAATGTTGCCAGAGGCCCTTCAGGCCAGGGCAGATGGGATCGTAGGTTGTAAGAATGTAACATATTTATAAACTCAAGACTGTAAATAAAAAGTTTGCATTCAGACTCCTGCTGTCCTTGTCTTCCTGGCGTCCTGGCGTCCACAGCTTTGGAGCATGAGGATGAGGATGTGGCCGGGCTCCGTCCAGGTGCACGAGGTGACAGAGCGTCATGCACAGTGTCTCTGCTTCCAGAGCTGGAAGGATTTGCAAATAAATCTTGTGTACGATTCTCTGCTAAAAGCCGGCTGATAGCTGGCAGTAAGTGGGCGCCTGATGGCCAGGCCCAGCCCCTCAGGGCTGTCACAGGAGCCACCGTCCGTTCTCAGGGTCACCAGCACATTCAGGCGCTGCTCCCAGGCAGGTGCACGCTGTGGGGATCAGAGGGGCCGAGGTTGTGGTCTGAGGTTGCTAATTACCAATGGCAGCGCCCTGAGACCTCACTGCAAGAATCCTTGTGTTCCCCCAGAGAGCACTAAGGGATATAGCTGGACTTGGGGGCCCCTCCACCTGAAGAGCCACCAGGAGTATTGGGCCTGCCCCCTCCCAAGGGACCAGGCCAGCGGCAGCTAGGGGCCCACACTGCCCTGAGCACCCCAAAGCAGATTATAGGCCAGACACAGGTGGTGCCAGCAGCACCCCGAGACCACGTTTCCTGCAGACCCAACTCCCACCTTCTCTGAAGCTGCTGACTGTCGGGAGGAATAACGCTCACGTTCCCCACCGCCAGCCCTATCTGGGCACCAGTGTGCTGAACCCTCACACCAGGACCCCCGCCCGGGCACAAGTCCCCACACCTTTCTCCATAGTCATGCTCCTCTCAAAAATAGACAAAGGGGATGTTTTCAGGACAGAAGAAGGGCCTTTGACTTGTGGACAAGACTCTGGCCAGTGTCTCCTGGAGAACGAACACCAAGGCTCCACTTCCACACCCACTTCTGCAGGCTGTGTACCCCACGTTCCAAAGGGGGGACCCAGAGGTTTGTGGGCAAGGATGCGGTGCCACTTGGCTCCCACGCTGGCTCTTCCACACTCAGCACCTCCAGGGCCTCTGGACCGAAAGCCAATGGGAAACAGTCACAACCCCGAGTGAGGCCACACTGAGCCCCAAGTCCCTGCCACCCCTGAGCTGTAGAAGGCCTCATGGCCACCAGGACTGCTGAGCAGGGGATCTCACTGCCTTCCATTTTGGGAGTTCAGGATGGGGAACCCACCCCAGACCAGCCCTGGCTCCTGGCGGCAGGTCTGTCACTGTCCTGCCCACAGCCACATCTCTATCCCTGCCTCCGCTCACCGGTAACCGCAGAGCATACAAGGTAGGATGGGGACCAAACTCGGGGACCGAACTGCTGGCTTCCTAGAACTGAGCAAGGACAGGCCTGTCTGGCTCCTAGCAGGGAACCCTGGGACTCCCTCCCCCCATTTTCTGCATCAAGACAAACGGCCCCTCAGTGACCCTACAAGCTCAGCCACATTCATGTCCCAGCTAAGAGGCAAACCGGGCGGCACCCTCAGAGGAAGCTCTTCCATGGTCCCTCCTGGCCAGGGAGAGCCACAAGCTGAACACACTGATGTCTGTCGGTGGCGAGAGGGGACAGCCGGGACACAGCCCCCTCTAGCTAGGACCACGGGGACCTGGCAACCCTCCTAAGCAGCTCTGAGTGGAGAAAGGGCAGGTCCCATGGGGCGATGGAGAGATTTCTGTTCTGTCCTGAAATGGGCAGGGGCCTGCCAAGCAGTAGTGCCCTCTGCTTTCCCAGAGCCCCCTTCGCCACACTGTGACACCCAAGGAGATGCTGGAACCAAGCACACAGACATGAGATCACCCTTCCCAGAGCCCCGTGGGCCCCTGGGCATGCCTTGCCCTCTGGCCCCTGGGTCCACAGCCCTGAGGTTGCCCCGGCCTGCCCAGCCAGCCTGGTCTCTCTGCTGTGTCACTGGTATCCATCAACCCACAGCACGTGCCAGTGTCTGCTGGGGCCCCCTCACGCACCCCACGCACCCTGTGTCCTGGGATGCCACTGGGTGCCACTTGGGTCCCACACCCACTCTTCTACGCTCACCACCTCCAGGGCCTCTGGACTGAAAGCCTAGGGGAAACAGGGGTCACAACCCTTACATTTGCTAAGTAGATTGTGAGTGTTGGTAAAACGAAAACTGACCGATGACCTTTTAAAAACATAATTCAGATCATGTCACTCCCCAGCTCAAAACCCCACGACAAGCCCATAGACTCCAGAATGAGCTGGAGTCAGTGTTAGCCCATGGACACGGCAGCACCATGGCCCTCGCCTGTCCCCTCCTGCTCACTGGCCCGATCCTCACGTCCCGCCTGTCCCCGACAAGCCAGTCCCCCCCTCAACCCCCACCTCTGAGCAGACCCTTGTCATTCCTTCTTTCTGGATCTCGTTCTGACTCATTCTGGCTTGGACCCTGAGCACCAGGAGGGGGCAGCTGTTGGTGCAGCTTCTTCCTGCCACCCAGAATCTCCCTGCCACCTCACTGTCCCAATCTGTGGTGCCCTTCGAGCTCTGGATTGCTCCCAGGTATCTGCTCTCGCTTGAGTGCATCTGCCCCATAGAATACAAGTTCCAGAAGATAAAGCTCCAACCCTGTTCTCTGTTATACACCTGTGACGAGAGCTGTACCTCGAAAGTCAGCATCAGCAAACATGGGAGGACCTTTGAATGGATGGGTGGGTGGGTGGGAAGAAGAGGGTCAATGGTCAGATTGATGGATGGGTGGACAGATGGACGGACGGACAGATGAATAGTTGGAAACGAATGGTTTCCAGACCTTGAGTAATGAAGACACACCTGGCCTAATAGACTAACCTGGTCACCTGGCAGGAAGCAGACTTTTGTCGCATGACCCAGTTGTTGGGCCACATGGATGTGTGCGTGGTCCCCACCCCTGGGCCAGGAAGTAAGTCTTCAGATTTGGTGGCCTTGGTGTAAGTTCCCGCAGATAGACTAAGGCGAGGAGACAGACGTAAGAGAGCGGAAGGCTTTGTTGCGCTCCTGGGCAGCTGAGGTCTGCAGGCCCCCCAGGGGGGCCTGGGAGTCGCGCTTCCAATTTACAGGCTAGGGAGGGGCCTTTTATATGCCCCCTCTGTGGGCCTGGCCTTTGTTCAGGGTCTTTGATCTTTATCACAGCAACAACCTGAGGCAGCCTCCTGATGTCAGCTCAGCTCATCTCATCTTGATACCGCTAGATATTCTTCTTTTTGCCATTCTGTGGGCCTGGGTGACCTTTCACTTGGGGGCTGGGGGAGTAGACATGAGCCAGATGCGAGTCTCCTTCAAGGGGCATGTGAAAGACGGGGCCCCCCACTTGTTCCAAGGGCCCTCACGGCCAACAGTAGGGCCCAACCCTTGGTGACGACAGTGAGTGGAAAGTGACCGCCTGCCCCCTAGGTCGGCACCATTTGTGAGCTCCTGTCCACACACTCACGTCCCTGCTCTAGGGGTGAAGATGCTCCCCTGAATTTTCAAATCTCCAGGGAAAAAGAAAGGGGCGCCCCCTCGCTACCCCCCACCCCACAACCGCTGCCCCTACCGCAGATGCCAAGACCTGCTTGTTGGCATTAAATGCAGTCAGAGGGGCCTGGGGCCTGGACCCTGCGGGGAGGAGCCCCAGAGCCCCCACAGACCCTGCTCAACAAGAAACCTACCTTCGTCTGGGCACCACTAAAATCCTGGGTTATTTCTCGCCAGGTCCAGTTAATACAGAGTCAGCGCCCAGGGCCACCGGGCTGACGGCATCTGGTCCCAAGAGACCTCCAGGCTGGTGGGAACAGGGGTTAGGCAGGTCCACGCTCACACACCCAAGTTTTCCTCTCCCCTTTTAATGATCCTGGCTGCCCGTGCGGCCTGGGGAGCAGAACACACATGGTCTGTGGGTCTCCTGAGGCCTCATTGTGGCTCTTATTAGCAGCCCAAGGAGAGGCCCCGGGGACCCGGCCAGGCTGGCGGTGCAGCTAATTAGGGGCCCAGACCTTGGCGTCTGCCGAGCTGCTCACAATGTCCCCAGAGCCCTGCCTCCCCACAGGCCCCACGCGGGTCGACCCCCTGACCCTGGAGCTGCCACGTGCCTGGGGTGGGGTGGGGGGGTTCCCTCAGATTCCCGTTTGCTTGGCCTGCTAGCCACTGAGGGCCAGGGAGCAGGAGAGCAGAGCTGTCAGCCATGTTCCCAAGATGTAGGGTAGCGACCAGGCAGAAGCCGCAGCTGCCTGGAGGGAGGCTGCCAGCCCAGGAGCTGGATCTGAGTCTGTGAAAAAGTGGGGGGCTGGTGCTTCACCTGTCTGGATTTCAGCCCTATAACAGGAAGGTCACTGGACTAGGCACCCAGAGATGCTTTTTCAAGTGGTCAGGCTCTGGAAGGCCCCCCGGGGACCCCAACTCCTGTGGCGAGGCTGGTGGCCAGTCTGCAACCGTTTTGCAGCTGCTCTGGGCCTCCTCACTCTTTCGATGCTTCTCTGTAGCCCCAAGAGTCCCACACTGGTCTCTGCTTTCTGCCTCCCTCTCCCAGGTGCCCAGACAGTCAGATCAGGGGCCCGGCTGCCTCGTGACAAGGCTGGGGTGACTTTAGAAGGAAACCATGGCCTCCACCCAGCAGTCAGCTCTTTCCAGTACAGAGAGACCGTGGGTAAAGCAAGGACCCACAGCCCTTGGCAATGGCGGCCAGAACTGGGCGGGAGGGCTCCTGGGTGCTCTGGACTGGGTGATGCCCACTCAGCTGGGCCTCACTCCCACCCAGCATGTTTCCAGGGAGCTGAGGCCGCTGAACCCACGGTCTCCACTCAGTGTGCAGCTACTCAAACTGACGATGATCCCCCACCTGGAGGGGGAGGCAGGCCACATCCCATGGGAGAGGGACAGCAGAAACGTGGACTTTGCCCACCATGGACAGTCCTGGGAGTGAGGACTGTGCTGTCTCCGTGCTATAGGACAAGGCGGCCTGGGAAGGTCTAGAGAGAGAAACATCCAGAGTAATTCCCAATAGAATGTCTCATGGTCCTTGGCAGAGCTGCGGTGCCCA